ACCTATTTGTGATGTCACCAGCAGACTGACAGACAAAATATTTTGAATGACCCGACTCAGCAAAACCACCCACCTTGCATTTACATACCTTGAATTCGCAATTTCCACTTTGGTTCTCGCCATGGCGGCTGCCCTTTGTGCGCCTTCTATTGCTCTGTCCACCTTCTCCCTAGTTTTTGTATTTCTTATTGGTATAAGCTGCTTCCTTATTCCACGGACCAGAATATTATTTTTGTATTTTCCCTCTTCTTTGGAGCCATCAGGGAACACGGTACAGCCATATCCATGCCTCTTGTTATTTGCCCACTCGCCTTCATACTTCATGCCGTTGGAGCGCTCGCTGATGCCGAAACCATTGCGCTTGTCGTTCTTCCACTCGCCCATGTAGGTTTCAGTGGTGGTGGCGTCCACGTGGTCTTCCACGGGGCAAAAATCACAATCGACGTCGCCAAAGCTGATGGTGGAGTTGGCATCACTGGAACTAATTCTGCTCATGGCTGCGTCGCTGCGGACCGAGCTCCGCTTGCTGGAGATGGAAGACTTGGACTCSGACTTGCGAAGTTTCATGCTTCCGAGAAGGGAGCCCCTGCGGAAGAGGCCKCCCTTTTTCTTGCCTCCAAGCTCGGCATCAGCGTGGAAGTTGAGCACGAAGCCTCCGCGGGTGCCTGCCGGGCTGTCAGCTGCAGCCGCTGCATCGTGGAGCACGCTGCCATTGCTCTGCTCGCTGCGCAGGGAGGCCAGCGAGGTGCGCAGGGGCGAGCGGATCACCGTGGCCATGCCATAGGGCACACTCTGGCGCACACCGTAGCCGTGCCGCATGCCTCCAGCCCACTGGCCCTGGTAGGTACCTTGGAGAGATCGCAAGAAAGCACAGCATGAGTCAGGGGTACATAGGTGCGATGCCTGTGAGCACTGGGACTACTGGGATAACTCAGAGCACAGGGCAGGTAGGCCCAAGGTCAAATAGGACACACTTCCAAGTCCACCCTAGGATATACTTTTCATCCACTTATAAATTTCGGCCCTGCAGTTTTGGCCTTATGACTTCAACTGCATAGGATTTTTCTAAAAGTCGGATAATTTTTGCTTCTAAATTTCATTGTTTTTCTGAGTGAAAACCATTCCCTTCTAATACAAGCAGAGCAAACATTAGGAAACAACTTTTCCTCTTTGAAATTAATATATCAAAAATTCCTTAGGAAGGCAGTGCAACAGAAGATGAAATGAACTATTTGTAAATCTTATTCTAATTTATTAATTTAGCTGAAAATTTCTAAAAATGACTTAGGTCTATGTTAGTATAATATTCCAACAAGCACAAAGGCTTAAAATGACTAGCAGTGATCTGAATGCCTGGGACATGGGTTGTCAAATGAATGGTCTTAGATTTTCTGTCACACTCAGCATCTTATTTTTAGGTTAGGGAAAACCATTTAATATATAAAATATACAATTTGGATTTGGGTGAAYCTTTCTGAGCTGAGTGACTTGACAAATACAATATCCATCCTGAATA